TCGGTAAAGTCACGTTGAAGGGAAACAACAAAATAGTAAAATGGAGACCTAAAAATGGAGACCTCGTTCAACGGTTTTATTTAACTTTTGATTTAAAGCTTTTGTGACTGCAGTAATTCATATTCTTAGTTTTTTTTTTTTTCGGTAAAGTCACGTTGAAGGGAAACAACAAAATCATAAAATGGAGACCTAAAAATGGAGACCTCGTTCAACGGTTTTATTTCAATTTTGATTTAAAGCTTTCGTGACTGCGGTAATTCATATTCTTAGTTTTTTCGGTAAAGTCACGTTGAAGGGAAACAACAAAATCATAAAATGGAGACCTAAAAATGGAGACCTCGTTCAACGGTTTTATTTAAATTTTGATTTAAAGCTTTCGTGACTGCGGTAATTCATATTCTTAGTTTTTTTTTTCGGGTAAAGTCACGTTGAAGGGAAACAACAAAATCATAAAATGGAGACCTAAAAATGGAGACCTCGTTCAACGGTTTTATTTAAATTTTGATTTAAAGCTTTCGCGACTGCAGTAATTCATATTCTTAGTTTTTTTTTCGGTAAAGTCACGTTGAAGGGAAACAACAAAATAATAAAATATATATAAAACAATAAAAAAATTCTCACGACGTTTCGACCATAACTCAAACGGTCGTCTTCAGGTGTGTTGGTTTGATTTAACTTCGCTCGCATTTCTCGTGGTCAAATCTTGTAATCAACTGCTCAACAGGCTATTCGCCGTTTCACGTCATATTTGCTCTCTCCCCCCGCCCACCCTCTCTATCCTTGGCTGCGCCCGCCCCCCTCCCTCATCTATTTAACCCTCTGTTACTAGCAGCTCTGGACTACTTGAGCCAGGTCGCTTCTGAAAAAGAGCTAGATAGCTCAGTGGGCCCTTACTTGGTAAAATAAAAAAAGTTCAGTAATAGTTATTCATAATAAACGTTTTTGGGTTGGATCGCGTTATTTATAAGTGTGTCGTAACCCTCCACCACCACCCGACACGGCCAATCAGTAAAAAACAAAGCGTCGCGTTGACCAAAGACAAAATAGTTCACTGCTTTAGCCCACCGGTGTGTTGAAGGGTGAATCCACAACATTTACAGTGTTTTGAGTAGTACGACGTTGGTAATTTGCTGGTAATTACATCCAGCATCATCGGGCAATTCGCCGGAACAAAAAAGGAAATTAAAAAAATTTAAGAAAAAAAATGAAAGAAAAAAAGAGAGAGACAAAAAGAAAGAACGAAAAAGGAAAGAAGAAATTAAAGAAAAAAAATTAAAAGAAGAAAGAACGCAAAAGGAAAGAGAAAAATGAAGGAAAAAAATTAAACAAAGAACGAAAAAAATGAAAGAAAAAAATAGAGACAAAAAGAACGAAAAAAGAAAGAAGAAATTAAAGAAAAAATAGAAAAGAAGAAAGAACGCAAAAGGAAAGAGAAAAATTAAGGAAAAAAATGAAAGAAAAAAACGAATGAAAACATGAAATAAAGAACGAAAAAAAAGAAAAAGGGAAATAAAAAAAAGAGTATAAGAAAACAAAAATCGCTCGGCCGAAAAATCGCCGGCAGCTTTCGCCGGATAGGGCCCCCACTCCGCACGCCCCCTCCCCCCCCCCCCACTCCGCACGCCCCCCCCCACTCCGCACGCCCCCTGCCCCCCCCACTCCGCACGCCCCCCCCCCCCCTCCACACGCCCCCCCCCACTCTCCCCACTAACCGAGGCGGGGGGCTCCGATTCGAACCGCGGCCGGCGTGGCGGAAGCTCGGCAAAGCGGTCGCGTCGACGCTTTCGGTGCGGCAAGGCGGCGACAGAGCGCTGGGACGCTGCCCTCCCCCCCCCGCCCCGCCCCCAACCTGGCACAAAATAATAAAATAATAAAATAATAAAAATAATAAAAATATTAATGGCAACTTTTTTTTGGGGGGGGGGGGGGACAATTCTGACGGGTTTTAGCGCCCGCTGTGTTATTAGTACCTTAATGTTTATTTAATCCGAGTATTTATATTAAACGCCCCCCCGGAAATTAGAATCTGGTCAATTTTGTGGAGGGAAAAATAAATATATATATAATATAACCTCCAGGCTGAAAGTTTTTTTTTTTTAATATCGACTAAATAGAGCCTCCGTGTGAAAATTACGTTAAATAATGTATTAACATGTTCTAACATTTCTGGGAATGTAATTCCAGTCCGTGACACTCTGCGAATCTATTTAGATTTAATTCGTAAAGCGCTCTGTATTTAGGGACATTTCTCATGACGTGCAACAAAGACAAAGCTCCCCCGTGTAGCCTTCACAGACTGCAGGGGCAAGTGCTGTTAGCGAGCAGCGCCTATGAAGGCCGGCACGGCGCACGAGGGGGTGGGTGGCCAGCACCACGCCCGGCCGCCTTTGTCTCCCCAGGGACAATGTTTACTACACACCGCACCAGGTACTCAATTGTGGCTAAGTCTACCTCGGGGATGCCCAGGACCGGTTCAAATCATCGTCACTGATGGTGTTGGTGGCCGTGAGCGACCGCTCACCACTTAATGACATAGACAAAGATCCCCCCGTGTAGCCTTAACAGACTGTTGGGGCAAGTGCTGTTAGCGAGTAGCAGCACCTGTGAAGGCCGGCACGGCACACGAGGGGGGATGGGTGACCAGCACCACGCCCGGCCGCCTTTGTCTCCCCCGTGGCGATGTTTACACACCGCACCAGGTACTCATTCGAGGCCGACTCGACCTAGGCGAAGGCCCAGGACCGGTTCAGATCATCGTGACTGGCGTCGGCCGTGAGCGGGAATCGAACTCGGGACAGCCAGGTTGGTAGCGCAGCAGCGCCGCTAACCCCGCTGCACTACCGCGTGCGCGACAACGTGACGACGGCGTTGTTGCGAGCGGAGGGCTTCTCAGCCTTGTCTAGACCACGAAACTCAACAAAGGCAGCGATGACACCGGTTGGCGTCCAGAGGCCAGACGGAGCGTGGCATCGCGTCACGGGCTAAGGGGCGGCGACGGCGCCGGGGCCTTCATCCAGCAGTGGATCGATCGCGGCTGATGGCGGCGATGGCGTTGACGGGCGATGGGGCCGTATCAATTGCCCGGCTTGGGGGGGTCACCGTAATCGCACGCCGGGCTCAATTTTTTTTATTTCCACTTGTGATGGTCGCAAACGGGAAGGAGGATCTGCCTTGAGGGATGATAGTGACTTTGGGAGTACGTACGGACCAGGGGCGGAGTAACAGAGGGGGCTGGGGGGGGGGCTCAGCCCCCCCTGAAATTTTGGGAAAGTCGGTAATCGGGATAACCGGATATCCGGCTGCTGCAAAATGCTGCAGGCTGCCACCTCGTGCTGCCCTGCAGGCTGCTACCTTGTGCTGCCACCTCGTGCTGCCCTGCAGGCTGTCACCTTGTGTGCTGCCCTGCAGGCTGCTACCTTGTGCTGCCCTGCAGGCTGCCACCTTGTGTGCTGCCCTGCAGGCTGCCACCTTGTGTGCTGCCCTGCAGGCTGCCACCTTGTGTGCTGCCCTGCAGGCTGCTACCTTGTGTGCTGCCCTGCAGGCTGCCACCTTGTGTGCTGCTGCCCTGCAGGCTGCCACCTTGTGTGCTGCCCTGCAGGCTGCCACCTTGTGTGCTGCTGCCCTGCAGGCTGCCACCTTGTGCTGCCCTGGAGGCTGTCAGCTTGTGGTGCTGCCCTGCAGGCTGCCACCTTGTGTGCTGCCCTGCAGGCTGCCACCTCGTGCTGCCCTGCAGGCTGCCACCTTGTGCTACCACCTTGTGCTGCTGCCCTGCAGGCTGCCACCTTGTGGTGCTGCCCTGCAAGCTGCCACCTTGTGCTGCTGCCCTGCAGGCTGCCACCTTGTGCTGCCACCTTGTGCTGCTGCCCTGCAGGCTGCCACCTCGTTCTGCCACCTTGTGTGCTGCCCTGCAGGCTGCTTGAGCGGCAGCCTTTCGAACTTCTCGAACTTATCGGCCACATCAGCGGCTCCGACCTCTTAATAAACTCCGCGTTCAAATCCAATAAAATTTGTTTTATACATTTGTGGTGCCCATTGGAAAACAAGAACACTGGATATCTCAGAATATTGAAGTCAGCCCCCCCCAAAGTCAAAATCCTGGCTCTGCCCCTGGTACATTGAACCTCTTTCGCAACGTACGTAGCCAACCGTGCTCATCGGAGATGGCGGGGGAAGGACAACAAACTACACACAATAAAAGCAGCCCTAAAGCAATGAGTTTGCCAATCGAGTTTTAGATGATTTAAAAGTGCACAGCTCCCCAGTGGCTCCCCAAACATCGGAAGGGAAAGGAGCGTTCCAGACGGCCGCAGAAGCGCGTCCGGAAGCGGCGCGCGCGACGATGCGGTGGACCACCGTCTTTGTACGATGGCTGAGCAGCCAAAAGCGAGGCACCGTGGTTCATTTGCGTTCCATCCCGAGTGCATCGCTGTGTTTGTGACCGTGTTCTCTCTGTGCGTTCGCGATAGAGGGAGGCATTTATCCAGCAGTGGACAGCTCATTGCCGGTGACAATGACGATGTACGTGGCCCATTAAGAGGTTTTTTTTTGGGGGGGGGGGGGGTTAGATCGCGTGAAGGCAAGCGTGTCGTGAAACCCACCACCGCCCCAACACAGCCAATTAGCAAGGTTTGTTCACGTAAACAAAAGAGTAAAACCCACTACAACACTGGCAATTGTGACGCAACATTCGCAAACGCCGTGTACAATTGTACAATTGTCAACGCTGGAGTGGGTTTTACTCTCTCTCCCGACGCACAACCGAATCGGTGCTGAACTCGTAACGAACCGGCACGTGCTTGTTCACGGGGACGCAAGCCGTGACAAATTGGCCGTGCCTGGCGGCGGCGGCGGTGGCGGCTTTTTAACGACGGCACATTGACGCGGTCTAACCCGAAAAAAAACCCCATCCTCTGTTACGGATAATATTGGACGCGAAAGCTTCGGCGCGCTACTCCTGCTACTCGGCGCCAAACGGGACGTACGCGGTGGCTTGCACTCACGCGGTGTTGGCCGACCTGCGGATGCGCGTTGCCACGACGCGGAGTGCGTCGCGAACGACGGCCACCTTCACCTCCTCGTCGACGGGACTGGAGACGCTGTCAAACACTCCCGGCGACACCTGGGGAAGGGTGAGAGAGAGCACGGGGATGGGAGAGAGAGAGAGAGAGGGGAGAGAGAGCGGCCAGGGTTAACACAGCGGTGGCAGAGGTCACATAAGTAGCAGTGTTGAATCTATGGTGCAGCGTTGAGTCTATGGTGCAGTGTTGAGTCTATGGTGCAGTGTTGAGTCTATGGGCAGTGTTGAGTCTATGGTGTAGTGTTGAGTCTATGGGCAGTGTTGAGTCTATGTGCGGTGTTGAGTCTATGGGCAGTGTTGAGTCTATGGGCAGTGTTGAGTCTATGGGTAGTGTTGAGCCTATGGGCAGTGTTGAGTCTATGGGCAGTGTTGAGTCTATGGGCAGTGCTGAGCCTATGGGCAGTGTTGAGTCTATGGGCAGTGTTGAGTCTATGGGCAGTGTTGAGTCTATGGGCAGTGTTGAGTCTATGGGCAGTGTTGAGTCTATGGGCAGTGTTGAGCCTATGGGCAGTGCTGAGCCTATGGGCAGTGTTGAACACACAAACACACAAAGCAAAACACGAACACACAGGCAGTACAAGTCACACTCGCACAGGAACACAGTCACACACACAAACAAGAACACATGAACACACAGAGACAACAACAACCGCCATTCGCCACTAAGTGGCGGTGACGTCACCACGACGCTTGTGCCAGACCATGTGCACCTTGAGGCCACGTGAAGTGTCGAACGCACACACACAGGAACACAGTCACACACACAGCAACACAGACAACAGTCACACACACACAGCAACATACAGACAGAACACAGTCACACACAAAACACAGTCACACACACAGGAACAGTCACACACAGGAACACAGTCACACACACAGCAACACACGAACACACAGACAGAACACAGTCACACACGCAGGAAAACAATCACACACACACAGCAACAGTCACACACACAGCAACACACGAACACAGTCACACACACAGCAACACAGTCTTACACACACACAGGAACAGTCACACACAGCAACACACGAACACACAGACAGACAAAGTCACACACACACAGGAACGCAGTCTCACACACAGTCATACAGGAACAGTCACACAGGAACACAATCACAGTCACACACATAGGAACATAATCACACACACAGTCACACACACACAGGAACACAGTCACACACACACGGGAACAGTCACACACACAGGAACAGTCACACACAGGAATACAGTCACACAAACAGTCACACACACACACAGTCACAGTCTCATACACACACAGGAACAGTCACACACACACAGTCACACACACATGAACAGTCACATACACAGGCACAGTCACACACAGGAACACAGTCACACACACACAGGAACAGTCACACACACACAGGAACACAGTCACACACACACACAGGAACACAGTCACACACACACAATTACACAGTCACACACACACAGTAACAGTCACACACACAGGAACAGTCACACACACAGGAACACAGTCACACACACACAGGAACACAGTCACACACACACAGGAACAGTCACACACACACAGGAACAGTCACACACACAGGAACAGTCACACACACAGGAACACAGTCACACACACACAGGAACACAGTCACACACACACAGGAACACAGCCACACACAGGAACAGTCACACACACACAGTCACATACACACAGGAACAGTCACACACACACACACAGTTACACAGTCACACACACACAGTAACAGTCACACACACACAGGAACACAGTCACACACACACAGGAACAGTTACACACACACAGGAACAGTCACACAGTCACACACAGGAACACAGTCTCACACACACACAGGAACAGTCACACACACACAGGAACAGTCACACACACGCAGGAACACAGTCACACACAGGAACACAGTCACACACAGGAACAGTCACACAGGAACACAGTCACACACACACAGGAACACAGTCACACACACACAGGAACACAGTCACACACACACAGGAACACAGTCACACACACACAGGAACACAGTCACACACACACAGGAACAGTCACACACACACAGGAACACAGTCACACACACACAGGAACACAGTCACACACACACACAGGAACACAGTCTCACACACACACAGGAACACAGTCACACACACAGGAACACAGTCACACACACACAGGAACACAGTCACACACACACAGGAACACAGTCTCACACACACACACAGGAACACAGTCACACACACAGAAACAGTCACACACACACAGAAACAGTCACACACACACAGAACACAGTCACACACACACAGAACACAGTCACACAGAGGAACAGTCTCACACACAGGAACAGTCACACACACAGGAACAGTCACACACACACAGGAACACAGTCACACACACAGTCTCACACACACAGGAACAGTCACACACACACACAGTCACACACACACAGGAACACAGTCTCACACACACACAGGAACACAGTCTCACACACACACACACAGGAACAGTCGCACACACAGTTACACAGTCACACACAGGAACAGTCACACACACAGGAACACAGTCTCACACACACACAGGAACAGTCACACACACACAGTTACACAGTCACACACACACACACAGGAACACAGTCTCACACACAGGAACAGTCACACACACAGTTACACAGTCACACACACAGGAACAGTCACACACACAGGAACACAGTCTCACACACACACACACAGGAACAGTCACACACAGTTACACAGTCACACACACACAGGAACAGTCACACACAGGAACACAGTCTCACACACACACACACAGAAACAGTCACACACACAGGAACAGTCACACACAGTTACACAGTCACACACAGGAACAGTCACACACACACACACAGAAACACAGTCACACACACACAGTCACACACACAGGAACAGTCACACACACAGGAACAGTCTCACACACACACACACAGGAACAGTCACACACACACAGGAACAGTCTCACACACACACACAGGAACACAGTCTCACACACACACAGTCACACACACACACATTCACACACACACAGGAACAGTCACACACAGTCACACACACACAGTCACACACACACAGGAACAGTCACACACAGTCACACACAGGAACAGTCACACACACACAGGGGGCGGCAGGAGGAGGGGGGGCTACGCTGCCAGGCTGTCCGAGAGCGAGGCGCTCGCACCTCGAGGTCGTGGTCGATCTTGAGGCTCGGGTTGGCGTTCACTTCCAGCAGAACGGGCTTGAGATTCCTTAGCAGCAGGATGTCGAAGCCCAGGATCTGTCGAGGCAAAGGGGGAACGTGACGCGGGGCCGATGGGGATAGTGTCGGATACGGTGCGGGTGGAGGGGGTGATGGAGGGAGATCAAGGGGCGATTGTGGGGGGTGGGCGGGGTGACATACGCCATCATAGTCGTCGTAGTCATCACTATGGACATCGCCATCATCATCATGGTCGTAGTCATCACTATCACTATGGACATCACTATCACGATGGACATCACCATCACTATGGACATCACCATCACTATGGACATCGCCATCATCATCATGGTCGTAGTCATCACTATCACTATGGACATCACTATCACGATGGACATCACCATCACTATGGACATCGCCATCATCATCGTTGTAGTCATCACCATTACTATGGACATCACCATCATCACCATGGTCGTAGTCATCACTATCACTATGGACATCACCATCACTATGGACATCATCATCATGGTCGTAGTCATCACTATCACTATGGACATCACCATCACTATGGACATCACCATCATCATCATGGTCGTAGTCATCACTATCACTATGGACATCACCATCATCATCATGGTCGTAATCATCACCATCACTATGGACATCACCATCACTATGGACATCACCATCATCATCATGATCGTAGTCATCACTATCACTATGGACATCACCATCCACTATGGACATTGCCATCATCATCATGGTCGTAGTCATCACCATCACTATGGACATCACCATCATCATCATGGTCATAGTCATCACCATCACTATGGACATCATCATCATGGTCGTAGTCATCACTATCACTATGGACATCATCATCACTATGGACATCATCATCATGGTCGTAGTCATCACCATCACTATGGACATCACCATCACTATGGACATTGCCATCATCATCATGGTCGTAGTCATCACCATCACTATGGACATCACCATCACTATGGACATCACCATCATCATCATCGTCGTAGTCATCACCATCACTATGGACAACACCATCACTATGGACATCATCATCATGGTCGTAATCATCACTATGGACATCACCATCATCATCATGGTCGTAGTCATCACTATCACTATGGACATCATCATCACTATGGACATCATCATCATGGTCGTAGTCATCACCATCACTATGGACATCACCATCACTATGGACATTGCCATCATCATCATGGTCGTAGTCATCACCATCACTATGGACAACACCATCACTATGGACATCACCATCATCGTCGTAGTCATCACCATCACTATGGACATCACCATCATCATCATGGTCGTAGTCCTCACTATCACTATGGACATCATCATCACTATGGACATCATCATCATGGTCGTAGTCATCACCATCACTATGGACATCGCCATCATCATCATGGTCGTAGTCATCACTATCACTATGGACATCACTATCACGATGGACATCACCATCACTATGGACATCGCCATCATCATCATGGTCGTAGTCATCCCCATCACCATGGACATCACCATCACTATGGACATCGCCATCATCATCATGGTCGTAGTCATCACCATCACTATGGACATCACCATCACTATGGACATCATCATCATGGTCGTAGTCATCACCATCACTATGGACATCACCATCACTATGGACATCATCATCATGGTCGTAGTCATCACCATCACTATGGACATCACCATCATCATCATGGTCATAGTCATCACCATCACTATGGACATCATCATCATGGTCGTAGTCATCACTATCACTATGGACATCATCATCACTATGGACATCATCATTATGGTCGTAGTCATCACTATGGACATCACCATCACTATGGACATTGCCATCATCATCATGGTCGTAGTCATCACCATCACTATGGACATCACCATCACTGGATGTTACCATCATCATCGTCGTAGTCATCACTATCACTGTGGACATCACCATCGTCATCATCACCATTCACGTAGTCACTATCACTATGGACATTATCACCATCACTATGGACATTATCATCATCATCATCAACTTAGTCATCCGTATCATTGTGGACATCACCATCATCGTTTTCATCGCCACCATCATCACCTTCGGCCACGATCATCACCGACCATTCAGATCGAATGATTCACATCGAGTCAAGTGCCAGCCTCCCCTTCCCACGACCCCCATGCTGCTGCAGCTGATCGCGATTATGCTACTGCAGCTGATGATGATGCTACTGCAGCTGATGATGATGCTAGTGCAGCTGATGATGATGCTAGTGCTGCTGCTGATGCTACTGCAGCTGATGATGCTACTGCAGCTGATGATGATGCTAGTGCTGCTGATGCTACTGCAGCTGATGATGATGCTACTGCAGCTGATGATGATGCTAGTGCAGCTGATGATGCTAGTGCTGCTGATCGCGATGATGCTACTGCAGCTGATGATGCTACTGCAGCTGATGATGATGCTACTGCAGCTGATGATGATGCTAGTGCAGCTGATGATGCTAGTGCAGCTGATGATGCTAGTGCTGCTGATCGCGATGATGCTACTGCAGCTGATTATGCTACTGCAGCTGATGATGCTAGTGCTGATGATGATGATGCTACTGCAGCTGATGATGATGCTAGTGCAGCTGATGATGCTAGTGCTGCTGATCGCGATGATGCTACTGCAGCTGATGATGCTACTGCAGCTGATGCTAGTGCTGCTGCTGATGATGCTAGTGCTGTTGATGATGATGCTAGTGCTGCTGATCGCGATGATGCTACTGCAGCTGATGATGCTACTGCAGCTGATGATGATGCTAGTGCTGTTGATGATGATGCTACTGCAGCTGATGACGATGCTAGTGCTGCTGATGATGATGCTACTGCAGCTAATCACGATGATACTGCAGCTGATGACGATGCTACTGCAGCTGATGATGATGCTAGTGCTGCTGATGACGATGCTAGTGCTGCTGATGATGCTACTGCAGCTGATGATGATGCTACTGCAGCTGATGCTCCTGCAGCTGATGATGATGCAGCTGATGATGATGCAAATGCTGCTGATGATGCTACTGCAGCTGATGATGCTACTGCAGCTGATGATGATGCTAGTGCTGCTGCTGATGCTACTGCAGCTGATGATGATGCTACTGCAGCTGATGATGATGCTACTGCAGCTGATGATGATGCTAGTGCAGCTGATGATGATGCTACTGCAGCTGATGATGATGCTACTGCAGCTGATGATGCTAGTGCAGCTGATGATGATAGTGCTGCTGATGATGCTAGTGGAGCTGATGATGATAGTGCTGCTGATGATGCTAGTGCAGCTGATGATGATGCTACTGCAGCTGATGATGATAGTGCTGATGATGCTACTGCAGCTGATGCTAATGCTGCTGATGACGATGATGCTAGTGCAGCTGATGATGATAGTGCTGCTGATGCTAATGCTGCTGATGATGATGCTACTGCAGCTGATGCTAATGCTGCTGATGACGATGATGCTAGTGCAGCTGATGATGCTAGTGCAGCTGATGATGATGCTAGTGCAGCTGATGATGCTACTGCAGCTGATGATGCTAGTGCAGCTGATGATGATGCTAGTGCTGCTGATGATGCTACTGCAGCTGATGATGATGCAGCTGATGATGCTAGTGCTGCTGCTGATGATGCTAGTGCTGCTGATGCTAGTGCTGCTGATGCTACTGCAGCTGATGATGATGCTACTGCAGCTGATGATGCTAGTGCTGATGATGTTATTGCAACTGATGATGCTGCTAGTGCTGATGATGATGCTAGTGCAACTGATGATGATGCTAGTGCTGATGATGATGCTAGTGCAACTGATGATGCTAGTGCAACTGATGATGATGCTAGTGCAGCTGATGATGATGCTAGTGCAACTGATGATGATGCTAGTGCAACTGATGATGATGCTAGTGCAACTGATGATGATGCTAGTGCAACTGATGATGATGCTAGTGCAACTGATGATGATGCTAGTGCAGCTGATGATGATGCTAGTGCAACTGATGATGATGATGCTCGTGCAACTGATGAGGAGTCAACCGCTCGAACCACCGAGTAGCCACCAAGTTCGCTCAAATTACTCCCGAGGCGAGCGACTATTCTACTAATTCACAGCTGCAGCACCCCACTACACCACCCCCCACCCCCTCCGTGGTCAATCACGGGGCTCTCTTAACCAAAAGTTTGGGTGTTTAAAGATATCCGAGGGAATGGTGCCACGTGGTGGTGGACAGCGGGTACGGGAAACGTTTCGGTTTCAACGGCGAATGAAAACTAAGCATCGGCCGTCCTCAGCCTTTCTGCCAATACAATTGAGTTGCGCTCTTGATTTGGAAGCTTCCGTGACTGCAGCAATCCATACTCTTTGGTTCTTCCCGTAAAGTCGTCACGGAGGTGGCCTTTTACTTTATGCCTCCGTGACTTTACCGATAGAACCAAAGAGGATTCACACCATTGGAAGAACCTCCTTTTGCCAGTCGCAAAATGTGATCATTGTTTTTTTTTTGTTACACCCTTTTATCTGGCAACAAAACTGACACCTTTTTTGTATTTTACAAGGGATCATGTTTGCATTAACCACAATACCTGCAGGTCAGAATGCAAACAAAAAACAACTCTGATAATTTTGATTTAAAGCTTTCGTGACTGCAGTAATTCATATTCTTAGTTTTTTTCGGTAAAGTCACGTTGAAGGGAAACAACAAAATAATAATATATATAACAATAAAAACAATCATGCAAACCAACACACCTGAAGACGACCGTTTGAGTTATGGTCGAAACGTCGTGAGAATTTTGTATTGTTTTATATATTTTATTATTTTGTTGTTTCCCTTCAACGTGACTTTACCGAAAAAACTAAGAATATGAACTCTGATAATGTTCTGCATTGTCCTTGAAGTTGATTGGTCCACACCCGGGACAGCTTTTTCTTGGAGCCCAGTCTCACGTTGGTGTTGGACCAGATGACGCCAAAAGGCGTCACACAACTCAAAGGCAACGCACCATCAGAGTATTGAGAGCTCGGGGTCAAAAATTAACATCATTGGAAACCTCATTTGCCAGTCGCAAAATAAGATCATTGTTTTTTTTTAACCCTTTTATCTGGCAACAAAACTGGTGTCAGTTTTGTTGCTTTGAAATTGGGTCCATCTTTTTTTAAACACCATAAATATTCATAATGGGTCCTAAGTGTGGTGGAAGTAAAGCTAAAATAACCCGTGAGGTTCTCAATTTGCAAGAAGAGCTTGACATAGTCAAGCTTAATGAGCAAGGCTAAATAAGGGCCCTGCTTTGACATCCGTCCATGCTCTGGTCCCTTACCAGACGAAAGTGCAAGGTATATTCCTGTAGAGAGAGGTAGATCACAGAGGTGTGTGTGTGTACTGCGTGTGTGTGATGCATTTACCGTTCTATCCCTTCCCCCGTTGCCCCATTCGCTCTCCCCCACACCACTCTCTCTCCCCCCACTCTCTCCCCACTCTCCTCCCACTCTCCCTCCCACCCCACTCTCCCCCACTCTCTCTCCCCCACCCCCCACTCTCCCCCCGCTCTCCCCCCACTCTCTCCCCCACCCCACTCTCCCCCCACTGTCCCCCCACTCTCTGTCCCCCACACCACTCTCCCCCACCCCACTCTCCCCCCACTCTCCTCCCGATCTCCCCCCACTCTCCCCCCACTCTCTCCCCCACCCCACTCTCCCCCCACTCTCTCTCCCCCCCACTTTCTCTACCCCCACTCTCTCTACTCCCACTCTCCCCCCCCCCACACTCCCCCCCCCCCCCCGCTCTCTCTCCCACCACTCTCTCTCCCCCAACTCTTTCTCCCCCCACTCTCTACCCCTCCCCCACCCCACTCTCCCCCCACTCTCTCCCCACCCCCCCCACCACCACCACCACCACCCACCACCCACCCCCACTCGACCTGAAAGCACTCCGGCCCCCCACCGCCGCGGCCGCCGGCCCTCCTCCCCCGCCCCTCCTCGGCGTGGTGGCCGACCCGCAGGCCCGGGGCGAGCGCCAGCACGGTCTTGAGCACGAGCCCCACGAGGTCGCGCCAGAGGCGGTGCACGTCCAGGCCCCGCGCCGCCAGGCGGCCCAGCAGGCTGCCTAGGGTGCGCTTGCTACCCGTGGACGCCGAGTCGGAGTGCACAAAGCGTCCGCTGTGCACGTTCAGCGAGTAGTTGGTCAGGTGCATGTAGAGGCGGTGGAGGTTCTTGGGGTTCGGCTCCTGGGGGGAACAGGGCGAGGGGGCGAGGGGGGGTGAGACGCACGCGCGGGGGGGACAGATGTGTGGGAGAGATGAGAGATGTGAGATGTGAGATGAGAGATGCAGTATGAAGTAAGTGGTGACAAGAGGAGATAGCGGGAGAGATGAGAGAGATGCAGGATGGAGCGAGTGGTGGGCAAGGTGGAGATAGCGGGAGAGATGACAGAGAGAGATGAGAGATGCAGGATGGAGCGAGTGGTGGGCAAGGTGGAGATAGCGGGAGAGATGACAGAGAGAGATGAGAGATGCAGGATGGAGCGAGTGGGGGGGGCGAGACGCACGCGCGGGGGAGAGATGTGTGGGATAGAGATGAGAGATGTGAGATGAGAGATGCAGTATGAAGTAAGTGGTGACAAGAGGAGATAGCGGGAGAGATGAGAGATGCAGGATGGAGCGAGTGGTGGGCAAGGTGGAGATAGCGGGAGAGATGACAGAGAGAGATGAGAGATGCAGGATGGAGCGAGTGGGGGGGGCGAGACGCACGCGCGGGGGAGAGATGTGTGGGAGAGAGATGAGAGATGTGAGATGAGAGATGCAGTATGAAGTAAGTGGTGACAAGAGGAGATAGCGGGAGAGATGAGAGATGCAGGATGGAGCGAGTGGTGGGCAAGGTGGAGATAGCGGGAGAGATGACAGAGAGAGATGAGAGATGCAGGATGGAGCGAGTGGTGGGCAAGGTGGAGATAGCGGGAGAGATGACAGAGAGAGATGAGAGATGCAGGATGGAGCGAGTGGTGGGCAAGGTGGAGATAGCGGGAGAGATGACAGAGAGAGATGAGAGATGCAGCATGGAGCGAGTGGTGGGCAAGGTGGAGATAGCGGGAGAGATGACAGAGAGAGATGAGAGATGCAGGATGGAGCGAGTGGTGGGCAAGGTGGAGATAGCGGGAGAGATGACAGAGAGAGATGAGAGATGCAGCATGGAGCGAGTGGTGGGCAAGGTGGAGATAGCGGGAGAGATGACAGAGAGAGATGAGAGATGCAGGATGGAGCGAGTGGTGGGCAAGGTGGAGATAGCGGGAGAGATGACAGAGAGAGATGAGAGATGCAGGATGGAGCGAGTGGTGGGCAAGGTGGAGATAGCGGGAGAGATGACAGAGAGAGATGAGAGATGCAGCATGGAGCGAGTGGTGGGCAAGGTGGAGATAGCGGGAGAGATGACAGAGAGAGATGAGAGATGCAGGATGGAGCGAGTGGTGGGCAAGGTGGAGATAGCGGGAGAGATGACAGAGAGAGATGAGAGATGCAGGATGGAGCGAGTGGTGGGGAAGGTGGAGATAGCGGGAGAGATGAGAGATGAGAGAGAGATGCAGCATGGAGCGAGTGGTGGGCAAGGTGGAGATAGCGGGAGAGATGACAGAGAGAGATGAGAGATGCAGGATGGAGCGAGTGGTGGGCAAGGTGGAGATAGCGGGAGAGATGACAGAGAGAGATGAGAGATGCAGGATGGAGCGAGTGGTGGGGAAGGTGGAGATAGCGGGAGAGATGAGAGAGAGATGCAGGATGGAGCGAGTGGTGGGGAAGGTGGAGATAGCGGGAGAGATGAGAGATGCAGGATGGAGCGAGTAGTGGGGAAGGTGGAGATAGCGGGAGAGATGAGAGATGAGATGCAGGATGGAGCGAGTGGTGGGGAAGGTGGAGATAGTGGAAGAGATAAGAGAGATGTAGGTTGAAGTGAGTGGTGACAAGAGGAGATAGTGGAAGAGATAAGAGAGATGCAGGATGGAGCGAGTAGTGGCAAAGGGGAGACAGTGGGAGAGATAAGAAAGAGAGATGCAGGATGAAGCGAGTGGTGGAAGAGGAGATAGTGGGAGAAATGAGAGAGAGAGAGATGAGATGCAGGATGGAGCGAGTGGTGGGGAAGGTGGAGATAGCGGGAGAGATGAGAGAGATGCAGGATGGAGTGAGTGGTGACAAGAGGAGATAGCGGGAGAGATGACAGAGAGAGATGAGAGATGCAGCATGGAGCGAGTGGTGGGCAAGGTGGAGATAGCGGGAGAGATGACAGAGAGAGAGATGAGAGATGCAGGATGGAGCGAGTGGTGGGCAAGGTGGAGATAGCGGGAGAGATGACAGAGAGAGATGAGAGATGCAGGATGGAGCGAGTGGTGGGCAAGGTGGAGATAGCGGGAGAGATGACAGAGAGAGATGAGAGATGCAGGATGGAGCGAGTGGTGGGGAAGGTGGAGATAGCGGGAGAGATGACAGAGAGAGATGAGAGATGCAGCATGGAGCGAGTGGTGGGCAAGGTGGAGATAGCGGGAGAGATGACAGAGAGAGATGAGAGATGCAGGATGGAGCGAGTGGTGGGCAAGGTGGAGATAGCGGGAGAGATGACAGAGAGAGATGAGAGACGCAGGAGGGAGCGCGGGGGGGGGGCGAGACGCACGCGCGGGGGAGAGATGTGTGGGAGAGAGATGAGAGATGTGAGATGAGAGATGCAGTATGAAGTAAGTGGTGACAAGAGGAGATAGCGGGAGAGATGAGAGATGCAGGATGGAGCGAGTGGTGGGCAAGGTGGAGATAGCGGGAGAGATGACAGAGAGAGATGAGAGATGCAGGATGGAGCGAGTGGTGGGCAAGGTGGAGATAGCGGGAGAGATGACAGAGAGAGATGAGAGATGCAGGATGGAGCGAGTGGTGGGCAAGGTGGAGATAGCGGGAGAGATGACAGAGAGAGATGAGAGATGCAGCATGGAGCGAGTGGTGGGCAAGGTGGAGATAGCGGGAGAGATGACAGAGAGAGATGAGAGATGCAGGATGGAGCGAGTGGTGGGCAAGGTGGAGATAGCGGGAGAGATGACAGAGAGAGATGAGAGATGCAGGATGGAGCGAGTGGTGGGGAAGGTGGAGATAGCGGGAGAGATGAGAGATGAGAGAGAGATGCAGCATGGAGCGAGTGGTGGGCAAGGTGGAGATAGCGGGAGAGATGACAGAGAGAGATGAGAGATGCAGGATGGAGCGAGTGGTGGGCAAGGTGGAGATAGCGGGAGAGATGACAGAGAGAGATGAGAGATGCAGGATGGAGCGAGTGGTGGGGAAGGTGGAGATAGCGGGAGAGATGAGAGAGAGATGCAGGATGGAGCGAGTGGTGGGGAAGGTGGAGATAGCGGGAGAGATGAGAGATGCAGGATGGAGCGAGTAGTGGGGAAGGTGGAGATAGCGGGAGAGATGAGAGATGAGATGCAGGATGGAGCGAGTGGTGGGGAAGGTGGAGATAGTGGAAGAGATAAGAGAGATGTAGGTTGAAGTGAGTGGTGACAAGAGGAGATAGTGGAAGAGATAAGAGAGATGCAGGATGGAGCGAGTAGTGGCAAAGGGGAGACAGTGGGAGAGATAAGAAAGAGAGATGCAGGATGAAGCGAGTGGTGGAAGAGGAGATAGTGGGAGAAATGAGAGAGAGAGAGATGAGATGCAGGATGGAGCGAGTGGTGGGGAAGGTGGAGATAGCGGGAGAGATGAGAGAGATGCAGGATGGAGTGAGTGGTGACAAGAGGAGATAGTGGGAGAGAGATGAGAGATGCAGGATGCAGCGAGTGGTGACAAGAGGAGATAGTGGGAGAGATGAGAGAGAGAGATGCAGGATGGAGTGAGTAGTGCAAGGGGAGATAGCGAGAGAGATATGAGAGAGATGCAGGATGGAGCGAGTGGTGACAAGAGGAGATAGTGGGAGAGATGAGAGAGATGCAGGATGGAGCGAGTGGTGCAAGGGGAGATAGCGGGAGAGATGAGAGAGATGCAGGATGGAGCGAGTGGTGGGGAAGGTGGAGATAGTGGGAGAGATGAGAGAGATGCAGGATGAAGTGAGTGGTGACAGGAGATAGCGGGAGAGATAAGAGAGAGATGCAGGATGAAGTGAGTGGTGGGGAAGGTGGAGATAGTGGGAGAGATGAGAGAGATGCAGGATGAAGTGAGTGGTGACAGGAGATAGCGGGAGAGATAAGAGAGATGCAGGATGGAGCGAGTAGTGCAAGGGGAGATAGCGGAAGAGATGGAGGATGAAGTAAGTAGTGACAAGAGGAGATAGGGGGAGAGATGAGAGATGCAGGATGAAGTGAGTGGTGACAAGAGGAGATAGTGAGAGAGATGAGAGAGAGATGCAGGATGAAGTGAGTGGTGCAAGGGAATTGTCGGGATAGAGAGCACAGGGAATGGTGAGAATTTTGTTCCTGGATTTGGCTACTAGAGGGAGGGGGACCCAGCTGGAGGGATAGACAGAGCAGGATGATATAAAGCTGGCGACAGGGTCGGGATTGAGCCCACGACCTCCTGCGTAACAGGCGAGGTAGATAACATCTCATAGCCACCGTGATGATGATGAGAGGGAGAGACACGCAGACTCCAAATATACAGCAGCAGGCGTCAGGGGTCGGGATCGAACCCACGACCTCCTGTACACCAGGCGAGGTAATCAACATCTCCTAGCCACAGTGATTTGGTCCCAGGCTGATTTCGCTGTTCGCCCGCTTTCTCCGACAGCCGGTAGAACCAAGAGAGAGACGGAGCGAAACGAAATGCTGCCGACGGCGATCCGGCAAGGGGGTTGTTGCCGCCGCCGCCCACCGACGGCTCCCGACCCCGCCCAGCGGCACCGCCGCAAAGCACCGCGGTCGGTGCGGGCGCCGGCAAAATCGGCCCGCACCTGGTAGACCTCGGTGCAGAAGCGACAGAGGCCCTCGCGCGACACGTACACCTCCAGCGGCTCGAGCGAGGACAGCAGCACGTAGAGGCGGATGTCGAACTTGAGCTTCTCCAGGAGGAGGGGCCTCTGCACGTACTCCTGCACGATGGTCGGCCTGCCACGCAGGCAGCCGGCTGCGTGCAGCTCCTGCGGCGGTGGTGGTGGTGGTGGTGGTGCGGAGGGTGGGGGGTGGTGAGCAGTGGTTAGCGGGCCGTTGACGCTTCGCTGCAATCGTCACCACCACAATAATCATCATCGCCGCCTTCTTCATCATCGTCACCACCACCAATACCACAACCACCACATATCATCATCATCACCACCATCGTTATCACCACCACAATCATCACCACCATCATCATCACCACCACAATCATTACCACTGCCAAACAAAGACGAAGATCCCCCATGGAGCCTTAACAGACTGTAGGGGCAAGTGCTGTTAGCGAGCACCTATGAAAGCCGGCACAGCACACGAGGGTGTGGGTGGCCAACACCACGCCCGGCCGCCTTTGTCTCCCCAGGGGCGATGTTAACACATTCCACTGGATACTCATTTGAGGCTGAGTCGACCTAGGGGAGGCCCAGGACCGGTTCAGACAATCGTCACCGATGTGACCGCTATAATTACACGATATACAATCGTCACTGATGTGACCGCTATAATTACACGATATACAATCGTCACCGATGTGACCGGTATAATTACACGATATACAATCGTCACTGATGTGACCGCTATAATTACACGATATATAATCGTCACCGATGTTACCGGTATAATTACACGATATATAATCGTCACCGATGTGACCGCTATAATTACACGATATACAATCGTCACTGATGTGACCGCTATAATTACACGATATATAATCGTCACCGATGTTACCGGTATAATTACACGATATATAATCGTCACCGATGTTACCGGTATAATTACACGATATATAATCGTCACCGATGTGACCGCTATAATTACACGATATACAATCGTCACTGATGTGACCGCTATAATTACACGATATATAATCGTCACCGATGTTACCGGTATAATTACACGATATATAATCGTCACCGATGTTACCGGTATAATTACACGATATATAATCGTCACCGATGTGACCGCTATAATTACATGATATACAATCGTCACTGATGTGACCGCTATAATTACACGATATATAATCGTCACCGATGTTACCGGTATAATTACACGATATACAATCGTCACCGATGTAACCGGTATAATTACACGATATACAATCGTCACCGATGTGACCGGTATAATTACACGATATACAATCGTCACCGATGTGACCGCTATAATTACACGATATACAATCGTCACCGATGTGACCGGTATAATTACACGATATACAATCGTCACCGATGTGACCGGTATAATTACACGATATACAATCGTCACCGATGTGACCGCTATAATTACACGATATATAATCGTCACCGATGTGACCACTATAATTACACGATATATAATCGTCACCGATGTGACCACTATAATTACACGATATATAATCGTCACCGATGTGACCGCTATAATTACACGATATACAATCGTCACCGATGTGACCGCTATAATTTCACGATATACAATCGTCACCGATATGACCGGTATAAATACACGATATACAATCGTCACCGATGTGACCGGTATAAATACACGATATACAATCGTCACCGATGTGACCGGTATAATTACACGATATACAATCGTCACCGATGTGACCGGTATAATTTCACGATATGCAATCGTCACCGATGTGACCGGTATAATTTCACGATATACAATCGTCACCGATGTGACCGGTATAATTACACGGTATACAATCGTCACCGATGTGACCGGTATAATTACACGGTATACAATCGTCACCGATGTGACCGCTATAATTACACGGTATACAATCGTCACCGATGTGACCGCTATAATTACACGATATACAATCGTCACCGATGTGACCGGTATAATTACACGATATATAATCGTCACCGATGTGACCGCTATAATTACACGGTATACAATCGTCACCGATGTGACCGGTATAATTACACGATATACAATCGTCACCGATGTGACCGGTATAATTACACAATATACAATCGTCACCGATGTGACCGCTATAATTACACGATATACAATCGTCACCGATGTGACCGCTATAATTACACGGTATACAATCGTCACCGATGTGACCGGTATAATTACACAATATACAATCGTCACCGATGTGACCGCTATAATTACACAATATACAATCGTCACCGATGTGACCGCTATAATTACACGATATACAATCGTCACCGATGTGACCGGTATAATTACACGGTATACAATCGTCACCGATGTGACCGGTATAATTACACAATATACAATCGTCACCGATGTGACCTCTATAATTACACGGTATACAATCGTCACCGATGTGACCGGTATAATTACACAATATACAATCGTCACCGATGTGACCGCTATAATTACACAATATACAATCGTCACCGATGTGACCGGTATAATTACACAATATACAATCGTCACCGATGTGACCGCTATAATTACACAATATACAATCGTCACCGATGTGACCGGTATAATTACACAATATACAATCGTCACCGATGTGACCGCTATAATTACACAATATACAATCGTCACCGATGTGACCGCTATAATTACACGGTATACAATCGTCACCGATGTGACCGCTATAATTACACAATATACAATCGTCACCGATGTGACCGGTATAATTACACAATATACAATCGTCACCGATGTGACCGCTATAATTACACAATATACAATCGTCACCGATGTGACCGCTATAATTACACGGTATACAATCGTCACCGATGTGACCGCTATAATTACACGATATACAATCGTCACCGATGTGACCAGTATAATTACACGATATACAATCGTCACCGATGTGACCGGTATAACTACACGATATACAATCGTCACCCAGCTCGGGTCACCGGGTCCGTACCGCAGCGCGCTAAACGCTACCACACCACCGCTCGCCACATACAACGTACATACAACAACTAGGGAGCACACGTGTCCTGGGAGAGGTGGGAGTGACCCACACGTTACCCCAGCGTCCGCGACCTGCCGATAGGCGACCGTGGTGTGGCACGGTTACACCGCTGGGTCCAGAGGGGTGCCGGGAGGCAGGGCGACGATTCAAGAAATCTGCACGGCGGTGTGAGCTAATAATCATGATAATAATAATTTACGCTTGTTCGTAAGGCGTCTTCCGCTCATGTCTCAAGGTGCCTTGTGAGAATAAGGAGGAGAGGAAGTCCACGAGAGAAGGAGAAGCCCAATAGAATAAACGGACTGAAGAAGATGAAGTGGTTTCCAGACGAGACTTGAACGTATCCACACCGTCGGATCAAAGAACGGTGACGCCACGGTGGCTATGAGATGTTAACTACCTCGCCTGGTGTACAGGAGGTCGTGGGTTCGATCCCTGACCCTGCCGCCTGCAGCTGTATATTTGGAGTTTGCGTGTCTCTCTCTCTCATCATCATCACGGTGGCTATGAGATGTTAACTACCTCGCCTGGTATACAGGAGGTCGTGGGTTCGATCCCTGACCCTGACACCTGCTGCTGCATGTTTGGAGTTTGCGGTGTCTCTCTTTCATCATCATCATCACGGTGGCTAGGAGATGTTGACTACCTCGCCTGGTGTACAGGAGGTCGTGGGTTCGATCCCTGACCCTGCCGCCTGCAGCTGTATATTTGGAGTTTGCGTGTCTCTCTCTCTCTCATCATCACGGTGGCTAGGAGATGTTAACTATCTCGCCTGGTGTACAGGAGGTCGTGGGTTCGATCCCGACCCTGACGCCTGCTGCTGTATATTTGGAGTTTGCGTGTCTCTCTCTTTCATCATCATCACGGTGGCTATGAGATGTTGACTACCTCGCCTGGTGTACAGGAGGTCGTGGGTTCGATCCCGACCCTGATGCCTGCTGCTGCTGCTGTATATTTGGGAGTCTGCGTGTCTCTGTCTCCCCGTGGTCGTGTGGACTTTTCTCCGGGTCCTCCGGTTTTTTCCCCTCCACATTGAGAATCGACGCCACGCATTTAAAGGGCATTTGGCTGCTGTAAATTTCCAGGCGGCGGCGATGATGATGATGATGATGAGCCGCTTTCGTTGAGCCATCGTTTGTGATGTTCAGGTCGCTTCTGAAAAACAGCTACATAGCAGCTTTGGCGGAGGGCCCTTACACTGGTCAAATAAAAAAGAACAGTTTCAAGGTTTTACGTTAACTGCGACGCTGGCAGAACGAGTGGATGAATGGACGGAAGGAAGGAACCTGTGGGCTGCTGATGAGGAAGATGCCGTCGCCTTGCGAGCCACTGTCTGGCTTCACGATGAACGTCAGCTTCCGCGACGGATCTTTCTCTCGCAGCTTCTGCACCTGCGGCCGTCACAGGCGAAGACAGGTGCCGGTGAACGACGTGTCAGACGAATTCACCACCACCGGCACCACCGCTTCAACCACCACCACCACCGTAACCACCACCGCAACCACTGCCACCACCAGCACCGCCGTCACCACCAACCCCCGTCACTACCACCAACAAAACATGCAAAACATCCCTAACGAAGAATAAAAAAATAATAATAACAGGTTAAAAGAGAACGCCGCGTACAGATGCAATCGGTGCGCGTGACTTTGCATCAGAGTGTCCACTTAGGCTTAGCGTACTTAATCGTTGCAAAGTTTTCTGAAAGCGTGCTTACGAAACTGTAAATTGAAACACTTGGCGGGCGGGCAGGACCGATGGCAAACCCCCACCGCTTTACACAAAAGGCAAAGATCCAACCCCCCCCCCTCCCCCAGTGTAGCCTCAAGCGACCGTTGGAGCAAGTGCTGTTAGCAGCGAGCGGCAGCACCCAAACCCCCACCCCCCCCAGAACACTGCCCACAACACACATCGGCCTCAAACAGCGGGAATTCTTCCGGCAGGATCCAGGAGCCGGGGTAGAAGGTGTACTCGTCAGGAAACAGCTGCTGCATGGTCCTCAACGCGCGGCTTAGGTTCACCTTCCGAACGAGCTCCGACATTCCTTCGGGGGGGGGGGGGGGGGGGGGAGCAGGCAGAGAAAATAAAACGACAGCAGCGGAATTAAAACAACGATCCGGTCCGTTGTGTCCATCCCGATGACGCGGGAACAGCGGTCGTATAGGAGGAGGGGGGGAACAGGCCCGGGGTGCATGGGGTAGCATCTAAACCAGCGGTTCTTCTTCTTCTTAACCTGGGGGTGCCACGCCATCCCCTGGGGATGCAAGACGCCCCTTTTCTGGGGGTGTGTGCGAGACGTGGCCAGATTCTTTTTCGAAGGCAAATCATCGGGGAAAAAAAAGATGAAAAAAAAATATAACAATCGGTTTTCACCCTTTCTGGCAATGAAACAGGCGGTGTTAAGATGTTCAAACAGCGAATAGAAAACCTTTAGCAAGGAATCAAGTAACTGCATTAACCACACACGGTACATGTGGTGAACATGCACACAAAACACGCTCCGATAACAATACATGATGCATTGTCTTTGTGCTGTTCGCCTTTCGGCGTTCTCTGGTCTGACACTGGCGGCGAGACTAGGAACGTAAGGAAGGCCGCTGCCTCTGGTGTAGGCCAATGCAGTGTTTGTTTGCACGTTCACCACAATTACTGTGTGTGTGTGTGGTTAATGCAGGAACTTGATTCCTTGCAAAAAGGTTAATCTATTTTGGCGTTGGCACATCTGACGACAACTCCTACATCATTAGACCTCCTTTGACCTTCTGGCGTCATCTGCTCGAGCACCAATTGGGTCGAGGCTCAAAAGAAAGCCGTCCCTTGGTGTGGACCAATCAGTTTCAAGGACAATGCATCATATTCTTCGCTCTTATCGGTAAAGTCACGTTGAAGGGAAACAATAAGATAATAAAATATATATAAAACAATAAAAAAATGTTTCATATATATTTCATTGTTTCCCTTCAACGTGACTTTACCGAAAGAGCTAAGAATATGAATTACTGCAGTCACGAAAGCTTTAAATCAAAATGCATCATATTATCGTGGTGCGTGCTTTTTATTTGCAGACACGAATCCTCGTAAAAAGGTTTCATTTTTGTTGCGTGAAAAACAAGGGGAAAATCCCCTATTATTATTATAACACAGCTCCTGTTTTATCTGCCAGTAGAGGGGTAAGACCTATTCCTACGTACTCTCTCACTTGATTTGAAGCTTTCGTGACTGCAGGAATCCATACCCTCCCTCTCTCTCTCTCTGGGTACTGTCGGCAAAGTCGTCACGTAGGTAGCGGATGGATGCTTGTGTTGCGACCGAAACGTCGTATCTCCTTTTCGCGGCAAAACCTCGGATTTGCGGAGCAATAACTCGTCCCGGAAACGTGTTTGTAATCCAAAGCACTCGCATATCAAAGCACAACGTATATGTCAGCTGTGATCACGTGACGCTCGGCAGTACAAAGCGCCTGCACGTGCTACTACTCGTATTGCAAGACCCTCGCTCGTTTATCAAATTAATATTTATTTAACAATTTTTTTTGCTCGTCTTGCAAAACACTCGCAGACAAAGTTACTCGCAATCCAAGCTTTTACTGTACATTAAACTAAACTAGTTTTTTACATTTATTTTATTTTATCGGATAAGGGCGCCCCCCCCCCACCCCCACTGAGCTGTGTAGTTATTTTTCAGGAGCGACCTGGCCATCGCGTATGATCGCAGCTCAATGAAGCGAGCTCACCATCATCATCATCATCACAAATCTGGCTGTCGCCTGATGAAGCTGGTTGTGGTTACTGGCGAAACGTGCTCCTCGGTTCTTTCGGGAAAAGTCACGTAGGTATAAAATAAAATAAATTAAATCACGACGTTTCGATTGCAACACAAGCAATCGTCATCAGGTGGGAAAACCAGAGCAAGAATCATTTTTTTTTTTGCTGAAGTGGGGGGAAAAAACAAGACGAATTAATATTTACTTTAAAAAAAAATTTGCTCGTCTTGCAAAACACTCGAAGACAACGTGACTCGCAACCCAAGGGTTTTACTGTACAGAGTTTAGCCCTTTTTTGTTCATAATTGTGATGTCACACCAAGTCAGGACTGATAATAGGCTTTTCCCCTTTTGTCTGGCAAACAGCCGCGTTAAGCTGTTAAAACACCAATAATTATTCGCGATTTTTTTTTTGCTCGCCTTGCAAAAAAAACACTCGCGGACAAAGCGACTCGCAATCCACGGGTTTCGCTACGCCCTCTTTGCTATCCACGTGACTTCGCCGAAAGAGCCAGGGAGGATACCCTCGCTCGCTCGCTCGCGGAGAGCGAGCGAGCCGGCGAGCGGGGCCAGTGGCCGCGCCTCGACACTCCGCTTCACGGTTTAACGCTGGAAGGGCGCCCTGACGCGGCTCTGCGAGATCCGCTTCCGCGGGACTTTCTCGCCAACCAGCCCCGGGGGGGGGGGGGGAGGGGGGGGGGGGGTTGCAACCACCGCCCCCTAAAGGAGGTGCGAGTGGGTTGACCATCTGAGGGGGGACGCGACGCTGTCGTTCCCAACGCGGTCTTCCCAAGTCGGGGAGGGGGGGGGCGGCCAATTTGACGTTTCCTCTTGAATTTCGAACGCGCGCGACAACGCTCCCCGTACGGCAGTGCGGGGGGGGGGGGGGAAGAGATGGGGGAGGAGGGGGCAAAGCTCGGGCAAGGAAAAGTCTGGGCAACACGCAACTCCGACCCGGACAATATCACACAAAACTCAAAGATAACGATCCCCCGTGTAGCCTTAACAGACTGTAGGGGCAAGTGCTGTTAGCGAGCACTTATGAAGGCCGGTAACGGCACACGAGGGGGTGGGTGGCCAGCACCACGCCCGGCCGCCTTTGTCTCGAACCCGGGTCGCCGGGTTCATAGCGCAGCGTAGCGCTAACCGCTACACCACCGCTCCCCACACCTACACACACACACACACCTACAGACAACAACAACCGCCATTCGCCACTAAGTGGTGGTAACGTCACCACGACGCTTGTGCCAGGCCATGTGCACCTTGAGGCCACGTGGAGTCTCGAACGCCCGCTGGCAGGAGGTCACGGGGCAGACCCAGGTGCCACGGGTCGACTGACTGAGATGACTGGCTGATGCACCACCTGTGCCCCCTACTGTGCCAACCTGCTGTGCTTTAGCCACCCGGCGCTCCGCTCGTTGTTGTGAGCGTCGCTCCTCCGCCCTCCGTTGTTGTTGGAGGGCGAGTGCCTCCAACTGCCCAGTAGCGTCCTTCACGAGCCTCCTCCACAGAGGCCGATCTTGACACCGCTGGTACCAGTCATCGGCAAGTCCACTCAGCTCCACGTCCTCCTGTACCACATCACTCCCTCTCTTCTCTAGCCCGTGCCGTGCCCGTTTAGCCCCCTCAATCCGGCCGAACAAAAGCTGTTTCGGCATGCGGTGGCTGGGCATGCGGGCTACATGACCCAGCCATCGCAGCCTTGCCCGCCGGAGGAGCTCACCGATGGGACCTTGCCCAGATCTTTCAAGGATTTGTGAGCTCCTCACACAATCCAGTCTGGTTAAACCCAGGATGGATCGTAGGCAGGCCAGCCTAAATGTTTCTAACCGGCGAAGATGTTCCATTAGGGGGGTCCATGTTTCGCAAGCGTAGAGAAGGGAGGGAATGACCGTGGCTGAGAAGACCTGCAGCTTAGTGCGGAGCGACAGACCAGGTAGCTTCCACACAGCGTTACGCAACCGATGAAAAGATATTGCCGCTCGACTGATTCGGAGTGAGACCTCTGCTGTTAAACTGGAGCCGGTCATAAGCACACTGCCCAGGTATGGGAAGCTCTCCACTCTTTCCACAACTGCCCCATCACCGATTGGGAGTTGTGGGGGTGGAGTGTCCGATGGTACAAAATACCCAGGCAGGTGCTTAGTTTTGGTGGGGCTGATGGTAAGGCCCCACCTCTTAGTGGCACGCTCCAGTTTCAGCAGCAGCGTCTCCAACTCCTCCTCTGAATGAGCGGATATTACCAAATCATCGGCATACATAACGTGGTTGAGCAATAGGGAGCCATCCCTTGACCGCACCCGGGCATCGATCAGCCTCCCATTATATCTTTACCATATGGAGATTCCCCCGGTACAGTTATTGAAGGCTTCACGAACTACGTGGTCGAAATAGATGTTAAATAATGTGGGAGCCAGAGGACATCCCTGTCGCACCCCAAGGTGTACAGGGAATGGCTCTGACTAAACCTACACACACACCTACACACAAGACAAAGATCCCCCATATAGCCTTAACAGACTGTAGGGGCAAGTGCTGTTAGCGAGCACCTATGAAGGCCGGAACGGTACACGAGGGGGTGGGTGGCCAGCACCACGCCCGACCGCCTTTGTCTCCCTAGTGGCGATGTTTTTACACACCGCACCAGGTACTCATTTGAGGCTGGGTCGACCTAGGGGAGGCCCGGGACCGGTTCAGATAATCGTCACTGGTGTTGGCCGTGAGCGGGAATCGAACCCGGGTCGCCAGGTTCATAGCGCAGCGTAGCGCTAACCGCTACACTATCGCTCCCCACCTACACACACAACAACAACAACAACCGCCATTCGCCACTAAGTGGCGGTGACGTCACCACGACGCTTGTGCCAGGCTATGTGCACCCTGAGGCCACGTGAAGTGTCGAACGCCCGCTGGCAGGAGGTCACGGGGCAGACCCAGCAGGTGCCACGGGTCGACTGACTGAGATGACTGGCTGATGCACCACCTGTGCCCCCTACTGTGCCAACCTGCTGTGCTTTAGCCACCCGGCGCTCCGCTCGCTGTTGTGAGCGTCGCTCCTCCGCCCTCCGTTGTTGTTGGAGGGCGACTGCCTCCAACTGCCCAGTAGCATCCTTCACGAGCCTCCTCCACAGAGGCCGATCTTGACACCGCTGGTACCAGTCATCGGCAAGTCCACTCAGCTCCACGTCCTCCTGTACCACATCACTCCATCTCTTCTCTAGCCCGTGCCGCGCCCGCTTAGCCCCCTCAATCCGGCCAAACAAAAGCTGTTTCGGCATGCGGTGGCTGGGCATGCGGGCTACATGACCCAGCCATCGCAGCCTTGCCTGCCGGAGGAGCTCACCGATGGGACCCTGCCCAGATCTTTCAAGGATTTGTGAGCTCCTCACACAATCCAGTCTGGTTAAACCCAGGATGGATCGTAGGCAGGCCAGCCTAAATGTTTCTAACCGGCGAAGATGTTCCATTAGGGGGGTCCACGTTTCGCAAGCATAGAGAAGGGAGGGAATGACCGTGGCCGAGAAGACCTGAAGCTTAGTGCGGAGCGACAGACCAGGTAGCTTCCACACAGCGTTACGCAACCGATGAAAAGATATTGCCGCTCGACTGATTCGGAGTGAGACCTCTGCTGTTAAACTGGAGCCAGTCATAAGCACACTGCCCAGGTATGGGAAACTCTCCACTCTCTCCACAACTGCCCCATCACCGATTGGGAGTTGTGGTGGTGGAGTGTCCGATGGTACAAAATACCCAGGCAGGTGCTTAGTTTTGGTGGGGCTGATGGTAAGGCCCCACCTCTTAGTGGCATGCTCCAGTCTCAGCAGCAGCGTCTCCAACTCCTCCTCTGACTGAGCAGCTATTACCAAGTCATCAGCATACATAACGTGGTTGAGCAATAGGGAGCCATCCCTTGACCGCACCCGGGCATCGATTAGCCTCCCATTATATCTGTACCATATGGAGATTCCCCCGGTACAGCTATTGAAGGCTTCACGAACTACGTGGTCAAAATAGATGTTAAATAATGTGGGAGCCAAAGGACATCCCTGTCGCACCCCAAGGTGTACAGGGAATGGCTCTGACTCCCGGCCACGTAGTTTTACCCGGGCCCGCTCACCATCATGAAGGTCCTTAATGATCGTGAGCAGAGGGTCAGGTACTCCAAAAGCACGAAGAACGACCCAGAGCCCAGGCCTACTGATGGTATCATAGGCCTTGACCAGGTCAATAAAGCAGAGATGTAGGTCTTGTTGGAATTCCCTACACCTCTGCTGTAGTAGACGGACAGAAAATATGGCATCTGTGCAGGACCGCCCTTTCCTGAAACCGCATTGGGGCTCCGCAAGCCTCTCCTCAGCGTGCCTGGCAAGGCGATGCTGAATAATCCTTGCCAGGACCTTTCCCGGCACACTGAGGAGTGAGATGCCCCTGTAGTTGTTACAGTCTGTGCGGTCCCCCTTCTTAAAAAGGGGGACCACCAGGGCATCCTTCCAATCCTGCGGAACCCGTCCAGTGGTCCAGACTGTTGTTATGATGTCATATAGGGCAGTCTGTGCACAAACGCCACCCTCCCTCAACATTTCGCTTGGGAGATCATCTCTGCCCGCTGCCTTTCCTGGTCTCAGGCTCCGGATCGCCTTCAATACTTCCTCAGCAGATGGCACCTCAGCCAGCCACTCACAGGGGGTGACTTCATCCAATATTTGAGGCACCGCAGCCTCAGCAGGGTCATCCTCACTTTGTGCCGCGATGTTTTCCTGGCTGAGGGATTTTCCCTCCCCCAGGACCTCACAGAAATGCTCAGCAAATCTGCGAACCTGTTCCTGGGGGTCGGAAATTGGATCACCGTTTTTTCCCCTAATGATGGTAATAGGTGTGGCGCTGCAGGTTACTTTTTTGATGGAGTTAAATAGAGATTTGTGATCACGGGCCACTGAGGCAGACTCCATCTCCTCAGCAACCCGCGACCACCACCCATCCTTGCAGCGCCTCACGGCTCTCCGAACCTCCGAGCGAAGGCTGCGGTAAGCCTCCTCATTCTCTGACGTGGGATTCTGTAGCCGATGACAGTGGGCCTGTCGCTTTTTCTCAACCATCCTGAACAACTCCTCTGTCATCCAGGGTGTCTGGGGAGGTCTGGACCGCGTACCCAAAGCAGCCATTGCAGCTGCATGAGTCACAGTCCTAAACCTCGCCCATTTACCCTCGACATCAGGAGGAGTCGGGGACGATGCCAATCCCAGCCGCAAGCGATGATGAAATTCTCGCTTGCAACTTTCATCAGATAACTGAGACCAGGCCACTTTAGGTTGGAATGGGGTCCTGGGTGTACACCCACCACCGGAGTGGAAGAATGGCAGGCGCATCTTACAGATGACTAGTCGATGGTCAGAGGGCAGATCAGCTCCACGGTAGGTCCTGGTGTCAAGGACATGGGCTCGCATTCGCTGGTCCGTCACTATGTAGTCCAGCAGATGTTCTTGCTTGGACCCGGCATGCATCCATGATGTTGTGTGGATGCGCCGATGCCGGAACAGCGTGTTGGTAATTACAAGCCCATGGGCTGCACAAAAATCTAGCAGCCTCCTACCGTTGTTATTGAGCTGATCTGGCCCATGCCCTCCAATCACTCCAGACCAGGTGCCAGTATCATGACCAACTCGGGCATTGAAGTCACCCAACATGATGACTCTATCCCGAGGGGCCACTTTAGCCAGCACCTGTGACAGGAGGTCATAGAAGGCATCTGACTCATCGGCTTTGCCTGCATCCCTCCACGGATGTTCATCTTCGGTGGGGGCATAAGTAACCACGACCACCATTCCTCGCCTCCGGTTGATGGGAAGGCGAGCCCAAAGTAGCCTGGGGCTTACAGCTTCCCACACCTCACCGCCACGCTCCCACGCCCCCTTCATTCTTTTGTTCAAAAGAAGACCCACACCCTGTTGTTTGGCAGTCTGCTGCCCCGAGTAGAGGACTGTCCACCCCTCATGGTGGCAGGAGCCAGAGCCGGTCCACCGGACCTCCTGAATGCCGCATAGATCCAGGCGGTACCGGTCCAGCTCCCGACAGAGGAGTGGCAGCCTCTCCTCTGCAGTGAGCGTTCGAACATTCCACGTGGCCAACCGTAGTGGCTTTTCGTTGTTTCTGGAGTAGCCCCGAGGGTAGGTATTCAATCTCCTGGCTCCGCCAATTGGGGTTTGGCCAGGAGACGTCATAGACGCCTGGCCCCCCGGGGCCTCCGGCACAAGCTTAGTTGTTACATATTTCATTCGTAGTTTCGTGGTAATTAATTGAAGGTGGAGGAGTTACCAGCCCCTCGCACCCGTCCAGAGCCCCTACACACACACACACCTACACACACACACACCTACACACACACACTTACACACACACACCTACACACACCTACACACCCACACTCGGGAGATGAGTAACAGTTATGTCCACGCAGCGTTTTGTTGTTGTTGTTTACCCGGGAATTTGTTGACAATGCCAGAGCAGACGTTTTCCGAGTCGTGGAATGACGTCCCATGCCAGTAAATATCGCAGGGCTGTCTCCGGCCAAACGGATACTGCAAAAGGCGACGACATCACGGATGAATTAGAAAAGAAAACCACCGCTCGAGAGAAGTCCGTCAAAAACACCGCGGCCTTGAAGCTTGGAGAGCTGAATGGAGTTCTCTTCACAGTAAATTTTACTGCAAAGACTTCTTCACAGTAAATTTTACTGTAAAGACTTCTTCACAGTAAATTTTTACCGTAAAGAGCTCTTCACGGTCATTTTGCTGTGCCAGTTACACCTCATGACGGAAGCTTGCGTTGCCTCCGAAACGTCTTGATTTGATTAACTTTATTTTTTTTATTTTACCTACGTGACTTTACGGAAGGAACCAAAGAGTAAGGTTTTTTTTGGGTTAGAGTTGTGGATTTGCTCTCCAACGCATCAGTGTCCTGTACGAGTAACGAATAGGCATGTTCTGTTTACGTGACAAACCTTAGTGATTGGCTGTGTGAGGTAGTGCCGGGTGATAACGACATATTGATATTCATGCATTCTAACCCAAAAAACAAAAACCTGTATTATGAAGCGGCTTATCGTCGTGCGGACATTTACAGCAGCCAAACACGTTCAAACGCACGATTGTAAATGTGAAGGGACAAACTGGAGGACCCCGGAGAAAAATCCACGTGGACACGGGGAGAACGTGCAAACTCAGGGTCGGGATCGAACCCAGGACCTCCTGTGTATCAGGCGAGGTAGTTAACATCTCGCCACCGCGGTGCCCTAGTCGACTGCAATGGCCGTTTAGTCTCTTCCACCAATGCGTTCCGGCAATATCGCATAATGCAGGACACAGCGACTCACTCATTCGCACACTCACTCACTCACCAACTCACCCACTCATTCACTCATTCATTCACTCACTCACTCCCCGTCTCACTCACTCACCCACTCACTCACTCCCCCTCTCACTCACTCAGCCACTCATTAACTCACTCACCCATTCACTCACTCGCCAACTCACCCACTCACTCTCCCTATCACTCACTCAGCCACTCATCCACTCACTCACCCACTCACTCCCCCTCTCACTCACTCACTCCCCCTTTCACTCACTCAGCCACTCATTAACTCACTCACCCACTCCCCCTCTCACTCACTCAGCCACTCATTCACTCACTCACCTACTCACTCACTCCCCCTCTCACTCACTCACTCCCCCTCTCACTCACTCAGCCACTCACTCCCCCTCTCACTCACTAAGCCACTCACTTACTCCCCCTCTCACTCACTCACCCCCCCTCTCATTCACTCACCCACCCACTCACTCACGCACCCACTCACTCACTCACCCACTCACTCACTCACCCACTCACTCACTCACCCACCCACTCTCTCACTCACTCCCCCTCTCACCCACCCACTCACCCATTCACTCACTCACTCCCCCTCTCACTCATCAACCCACTCACTCCCCCTTTCACTCATTAATTAACCCACCCACCCATTCACTCACTCAGCTACTCACCCACTCCCCCTCTCACCCAGGCACTCACCTACCCACTTACCAACCCACTCACGCAATCACTCAGCCACTCACTCACTCCCTCTCTCACTCACCCACTCACCCACTCTCACTCTCCCTCTCACTCACTCACCCACCTGCTCACTCACTCAGCTACTCACTCACTCCCCCTCTCACTCAGCCACTCACCCACCCACTCACTCACTCCAACTCTCACTCACCCATTCACCCACCCTCTCAATCACTCACTCACCCACTCACTCCCCATCTCACTCACCCACCCACTAACTCACTCCCCCTCTCACTCACTCCCCCTCTCACTCACTCACTCACCCCCCCCTCTCACTCACTCCCCATCTCACTCACCCACCCACTAACTCACTCACCCACCCACTAACTCACTCCCCTCTCACTCACCCACTCATTCCCCCTCTCACTCACCCACCCACTCACTCACTCCCCCTCTCACTCGCCCTCTTACTCACCCACCCACTCCCCCTCTCACTCAATCCCTCTCACTCACTCACCCACCCACTCACCATCCCTCTCACTCACTTACTCCCCCTCTCACTCACTCCCTCACCCACCCACTCACGCACTCCCCCTCTCACTCACCCATTCACCCACTCACCCACCCACGCACTCCCCCTCTCACTCAGCCACTCACTCACCCACCCACCCACTCACTCCCCCTCTCACTCACCCATTCACCCACCCACCCACTCACCCACTCACTCCTCATCTCACTCACCCATTCACCCACTCACCCACTCACTCACTCCCCCTCTCACTCACCCATTCACCCACCCACTCACTCACTCCCCCTCTCACTCACTCAGCCACTTGCTCGCTCACTCACGCACTCCCCCTCTCACTCACCCAATCACCCACCCACCCACTCACCCACTCACGCACTCCCCCTCTCACTCAGCCACTCACCCACCCACCCACTCACTCCCCCTCTCACTCACCCATTCACCCACCCACCCACTCACCCACTCACTCACTCCCCCTCTCACTCACCCATTCACCCACTCTCCCACTCACTCACTCCCCCTCTCACTCACCCATTCACCCACTCTCCCACTCACTCACTCCCCCTCTCACTCACCCATTCACCCACCCACTCACTCCCCCTCTCACTCACTCAGCCACTTGCTCGCTCACTCACGCACTCCCCCTCTCACTCACCCAATCACCCACCCACTCACCCACTCACGCACTCCCCCTCTCACTCAGCCACTCACCCACCCACTCCCCCTCTCACTCACCCATTCACCGACTCACCCACTCACTCACTCCCCCTCTCACCCATTCACCCACTCACTCACTCCCCCTCTCACCCATTCACCCACCCACCCACTCACTCCCCATCTCACTCACCCATTCACCCACTCACCCACTCACTCACTCCCCCTCTCACTCACCCACCCACCCACTCACTCACTCCCCCTCTCCCCCTCTCACTCACTCAGCCACTCGCTCGCTCACCGCACCGCCCCACTTTGAAATTCCCGTCCATCGTCTCTCTTTCTCCAAGTTCCCATCATCTTGCTCATCGATCACAACTCCAAAAAGTGACGTTTGGTTGCTGCCCGCTCGACCTTTTAGGCGCATTTTGGGGCCTGTTAATAAAAATAATACCCCCCCCCCACTCCCGAATTTAATTGCCAAGAGTTCATACCGACCGTGTTGCAGACACCACAGCCTCCTGTATTCCTGGGGGGGGGGGTCTACAATGAGCAAGACGGCACAGCAACAATCCGGTATCCATGGCGTCAATTTTCGAGCACACGGAGAACTTGGCTCGCAATTATCCATGCGTCACGGGATTACACGCAGGCCCGCCCGTCCGTCCGCCGTTCGGTTTTGAATTGAAATCTGGCCCCTGTTAAATGCTAGGGTTTGCCAAGATACCACTTTGCACGACACCATTAGGGAAAGCCGTTCACGGTGGTTGTGTAACAGGAAGCATGGTGGCCTTGCTCATCTGGAGGTCACCGGTTCGCGTCGGTCTCCCGGCACGGCAGCTGAAACAATGCTGCGAGTTCCAATTGTGGAGATTCGTGTTCAGCAGCAGAATCCCATTGATGGTCTGCATGTGAGCATTGGTTGGAGAGAACCCTTTCCAAGTCCGACTTTCTCACGAGATCGCAGGGCTGACCGAGACGTATGGCTTCTGGGGAAGCCTTCATCCAGCAGCCGATAGACTCTGGCTACTGCACGATGATGGTGTTGATGATGATGATTATGAAAAAAGTACAAGGGCCATTTACAGAGGCCTCTTGAAATCTACTTTAGCTGCACGTACTCTGATCAAAGCCCATGGGTTTTAGCGGTGAAAGTGCTCAGAGAAAGGCCCTTCAAATGAAGATTGATCAACAAAAATCACCTTTGCTCTGTTATGGACAATATTGGTCGCGAAAGCCCGACTACTGCTCAGTGCTAACGGCCCATTAAATGAGCGCTCTGCAAACTCTAAGGAGGCCAACCGATTACATCTCCCAGCGTAAAACTCAAAACGACGGTGCCGGTTGGCTTCAATCGTACACACCATCCTCTGTCCACCAGAGGATGGTGTGTACGATTGATCGCGCGTGGTGGGGGTAAAGTGTAGGTAGGGCCGCCCCCCCCCGCCTCATCCGAGGTCTCTTGCCAGCGTGGAAGGGTAGGCGAAAGCACCCTCTGGAAGGGGTTAATATCTCTCTCTCTCCCTCTCTCTCTCGTGCTCCCTTCGAGTGGAGGTGTCGTGGAACTTCTGTCGTAGCGGACATTGGCGAAAAAAGAGCTTCACAGCTCATCCGATTCATAGTTTCATAGTTTTATATATTTGGTATAGCCCCTGTGAGCCATTCGGCTCTTGAATCGGGTGCAACCACAACAAACAAAAAAACAAAAAACACAAACAAGAAAAACATCTTAAAGTGACATATGTGTTGACTGTGCAAACAGAAAATCCAGGAAAAAAAACCAGCAAAATATTCCTGAAATAACACCGTACACCAACGCTGTGTGCAAAAATCCCAGCAAAGGATGCAAGTCAAACAACAACCACAAGACAACTAAGATTAAGGCCATCAGTCTAACTCCGTACTACAATAAACAAAAACATGGCCAAACCAAAAAAAAACGTTTTCGAAATCACCAAAAATAACGCCATAAATGCAATGTAACCGTGATCATGGGGACAGTGACCGAATTTTTAACAATAAACTACATTAAAAAAAACCATATGCAACACCAAACCCTAGAGCCACGGGCTGGCTGCACGAGCCACTCCACAAACAACAGCAGCATCGGTCGGGAGTGCCACAGTTTCCAACGCACCTTTAAGATCAGCACGCTAAATACAAATAATACAGTTAATACTTTGCGGCGGAAACATTCCTCCCGCGGGATAAAAAACAAACAAACACTCCGATTCTGAACAACACGTCGCGATAGGGCGGTAACCCTGTCTGTCTCGTACGCCGTAGGGTGTGAAACGTTGAGATGTTTCCGTGGCGGGGGCGGGGGGTGCACGCAGCGAATAATTGCACGCTTTC